TTTGAAGTAGATGGTACATTTAAAGTCTAAGAGCCGTCGTTTAAGTTCATATTATAACCTCTTTAGCTAGTCAAGTGGAAAAGGCAAGCCATTAGCCCCACCTCCTTCTCGAGTCACAACAGAGACCGGTTGCTCGGGGATGTTTGAACGGATTTATACCATCTCTCACAAGATAATATCCGCAGGGGAAGGGGTGATGGAAAGAAATCTTCAAAACTACCCTTGTACCAAGGTATTATGGAGCTATTGTAGCGACCTAAGCTTTGTAAAGCTTCGCGCAGATACACACAAACACATGAAATGTACATATTTCATTTTAGCCAGCACAGGATTCCAATGCATACGAAAAACATTAAAAATGTTTGCAGTAATAATATTTGGCTTATAAAAGCATGGAGAAAAAGCGATAGGCGATACTAGCCACCCCTTGGAAACCACACACTAAGCATATCACAGTACAGCATGGCTTATGCAGTGACGGGGGAACAGCCGGGCGCTGGACGTGTTTTTAATTTAAATGCATTTTGTTAATAATTTAGATCCCTAGACAGTCAACAGGCAAAAGAAGCAGTACAGCAGTCAGGAATAAAACTTTAAATGTCTCAAATTGTCGCATTGAGTGACAAGCCCGAACCTTGGAATTGATAAGAAATTTCAATTACAATGTTATGCTTCAGTGAATTGTGTTGTGTTGATGTGTGTTCTTTAGCCCCCCCATTTGCTTTAGACTGTTTTCAGTACCACAGTCTGCCTTTCTATCCATTACTTCTGCTATTTTGTTCCTTTAATTTGTCCAAATACAAATTCAATTTGTTTCTGTTTCTGTATCAACAAAATCCTCAAAGTTTAAAATGGAGCATGATGTTAAAAATCGTTTGTAAACGTCCGTGGCTAGGAAGGGCATGCGCCGGATGAAAATTATGTTAATTGACTTCTTTGATATTGAAATTTGTGGCCACCCAAACAAAATTTCCAAGACAAGGGGATCTATTGCTTTCGCTTAAATTATCATGAGTACCTAATTTTGTGCTAAACTTGGAAAATATGCGAAACAAAATACTGATTTTTTCTATTCTCGGCATAAATCAAGAATAGAATATGCCCTCCAATATCATCCTAATGGTATTAATTATAAGTGTTATTTTGTGTTTTTAATAAAACTTATTTGGAGTGTGTCAGTTTGATGTGTGTATTAGCCGTCATATTTTAGAATAACTTAATTTGACATTCAACAGCCTACAAACCAACCATTCCTACCTATACACAATAATCATGATATACCAAAATCTCAATCCTTGACTTTATTGTGTCTGTTGTGGTTGAACTCAGCCCCAAAACATGTTTCCAAAAAAGAAGAGATGTAGGCAAAACATTAGTAAAATAATAAACATGGTCATATTCAGCCAAACGTAAACTGAATTCAGACTTCCGCTCGTTCCCCCATGTCCGGACCGAAAACAGAAAACAAAAGAAACCACCCTTATGATGCCTGTACAACGGCGCTCGAACGAATGAACGAACAAGGATATCAAACATCAAACAAATTTTAGAGGATGATGTTTTCAAACAGAGAAATTCAATGGCCTAAGAAAAAACGACCAGCTTTCGTTTTTGGTCCTTTATTAGCCTCTGTCTTGCATGGAAAAGATCACAAAGTAAAGATGGCGATATAGAAAGGACCCTGGAAAATAACTTTTTGAAGCAATTTGTAAATGTACTCCAGTTTTAGTAGACAAAGACAGTTGCTTATAATACACACCTCTTGCTAGCGAACAAATAGCAAATATTTGTTGTGGTATTCGCTATGTCACTGACAAATTTCGTTAACTATCGAAATTATGAGAGAATGGAAATTCGCTGTTACCGATAATTTGTCGTTAATTCTGTAGCTGAATAGCACCACAGCAAAGTTTATGCTTGTAACCTTACTGAAGTCATGGTTAAAAGCATGTTTCTATTGGAAATCGAAATATTTTATTGGTACAGATATTCTCAAAATGTAGGCTTCTTTGTTTCTAGAATTGTGCGCATATTCGACCCCATGCGTACCATGGATTAGATAGAGTAGAACAACAAATCCTGAATGTATATATGCATTCCAACATTATACTTCTAATTCATGATTTTCTTTTTTTTTTCTGAAATTCCTTAAAATTCTAATAAATTCTCCGATTTTGCATTTTTAAATGTCATAACAAGTTTTTTCGATAAATGAACATTTTGTGTGGAGAATTGTGTCGTTTTTCCATGTCAACGAATTGAGAGCGAATCAAGTGCAGTAATTAGATCTGTTCAAACTCTGCATGTTCTATTAATAATTTTCAACTTTAGTTTATCAATTTCCAAAGAGTGGTAAAGGCCCGAAGAACCCGCAAACCTTCATTTTCGTTCATATTGTGAAATTGAAATAGACCAATCTAAAAATATGACTTATACTTCAGTGCCATGTGTTCAGGACGCCGTGTCCCTCCCTAAACAAGAAGACAAACGAACGTCGTCAACACTGACAACGCTGCTGTTGAGTACATCCCCCGTCTCTCACATGGCATTCTCGTACAAACCCTGTGATGCTCCTTCCCTCAATAAATTGTTGATGCCAACCAAGAAAACTTCGTCCTTCAGATTTCTAGCGAGGATAAAAGAAAGATGCATAAAACTCCTAAATTCGTAATAGTGAAAAATGAAAGTTAAACGTTTCTGTTTTTAACGACCTATTCAAGTACTCTGTGCGTCGCAATTTCCCCACCTTCAGCGACCTTCCTCCACAACTTACACACACACACATACATAGCGTCTCTATGGGTGACAAATGCTTCGAATGTTGAAAACCGTAACAACAACTTCCTGTTCCTATCTTTTGGGATTTTCAAGGAGTATATTTACATTTACTTGTTTCCATGCCACGACCATATTGGATGGTGGAGCACTGAAATTGGAGTCAGAGGGGGGCTTATTGTTTACGGACAAGGGTGGGTTCTGTTCTGTCTATACTTGGCCGTGTTATACAAGTTTTCTAATTCCAGCAACAAGATGTATGTTTTCTCTTGAAGGTTTATTTGTTCGGGATGACAAAGTAAGTTTTTTGTTTTTGTGTGGAAAAAGGAGAATATTCGCAATACGGCCACCAACACACCTCACTCCCCGTGAAATTCGCTTTTGGCGAAAATGTTTCCATAGATGTTTGGTTTTTTATGCAGGAAAATGTGTTTGGAAACATCCGGTAAACATTCTGATAAATTACATTAAATGTTGATTTGATAAAGTGAAACAATTTGGTTTGATTTCATGGTATTTCCATTTAAGTGATTCGATTAGAGCTGGGCTTGCGTTCGAGTAAAGAGTGCGCTCCCGCGTTCCGTATGATACCTTCACTTGTTACCGCAGTGAGTGGGACAAGGTGAAGAAAAACATATTGGATATAGTTGTTATCGTGTATATTTGAAAGAGATAACAGTTCATTTGTGAACGTGTAATTAGAAATAATCTAAGGACGGTAGAACGTAGTAACAATTAATCGATAAATGCAAAAATGCTCCCAAAATGATTTAATTATTATTTATTATTTAGTATTAGCATATGATACTGGATAATTCTTATTTAACATTCTTTCCTGAAAGAAATTGCAAGTTCTAAGCCTTTTTTAAGCGTACTGCCACTTTTTGGATTGATTTGGATCCAAGTGGTATATGTTGTATAGCAGCCTTAAGATGAGGATACATAAGCAGCGTGTCATCATGGCTAGCCATATTAATGTCAAATTATAATGGGAAACGACGGCAGGATTCAAGTGCGGCTCTGGCATTCTTTAAATGTCACAAAATATGCCATGCGAATACTTCAAGCTCCTTTTCTACTCACCAGAAGGTTGCAACGAGTATGAAAAAATTCAATCATACTCGGTTTCTTACATGATTTTTCTTGATGCAGTCATTTGTTTTGATCTGAATGAAATGATCGTTTTCGCATTGGATCGAATCGAACATTCAGTTTGAACCACTTCACACAAACATCAATCAAACATGAGTGTTCGAGAGCGTCTGATGTTTTCAGCAAAGTAGCAATCACAACTGTGTTTTTTTTTCAATCGTGTTCGCTCAGCATTATTATTTGTCAACCATTCAATCAAGTTAGGGCAATTTATTTTGACTTTTATAATATTTGAAATGAAAGGACATTGTGATAGGGCTACCGAAAGTGTTGCCAGTAGAAACTACACAGTGTGTAGGTAAACGAAAATGTCGAAGTTTTGTTTGAAATATCTTGAACAATATTTGTGAAATAAAAAAGAATGTTTTAACATTTTTTGTTTATTAAATATCATTGATGTGATTTCTTTTTTTTATTAATTATTAAAAATAATGATTTTGTTTTTTTGGAAATAAGTCACTGAAGTCTGATATACCAAAAACCCAAATAAATAGTAAAATAACAAACATGATTTCGCTCAGATTCGATCATTTATGTTGTAATCAAATCAAATCACTCACTTAACTAGGATGAATCAAATCGATCACACTCACCATAGATGATCGCCCCGTTATGAACAATGCAACATTAGTTCGTAAACAAATCACTCATGTGAGCTATTTGATTGGGAACACAGAGCTTTGATCAATTCCTGTTTGCTCACAACTTTTTCGTTTCGCCTGAGCGACTTCAATAAATATGTCACATCTGACCAACTGATTGAGTTTGATTGTATGTCCACTAAGTGCGATCAAGCCTAACTCAAGCAATACTCATTGCAGCCCTCTCGTACTCACACCTTTACAATTGTACCGATTTCACTTCATTCATCCTTAAAATCGTTTACATTTTAAAAGGTGAAAATAAATGCTGGTTCAAGTATATCTCACACTTCGTAAGAATAATTTGTCATTTTTTCCGCGAGCAATACCACCCTGTTTTCCAATAAGTTGAGCCAATAACCTTGTGTCATCTGTTAGTTTTCGAGTCATCCGCTTTATTCGAGACACACATATTCTATTGCAGACACTTACCTATTCACCATGCTGTCATTGCCGTTTTGGATATTTTGAATGGTGGAAGTTGAATTCGCCGACGATGTGGTCTTCTCCGCGCACTGTGTTGTGGTTGTTGTATTCGGTTGCTGATGGATATCGGCTTTTATCGATAAACCAGACGTTGTGTTTGGCTTCCCCTGCTTCGATTGTTGTTTGAATCGGCTTAAAGCAAAAAACAATGCCAGAACAGCTTTCAATCGGCCACAGCAAATGTCACTGGTGGTAATGTTATCGAGGCCAGAAACCGTTTGGGAGCGTAAGACGTTGAGACAAGAATTGACGTTGTCGTACTGAAAATAAATAAAGAAGAGGCAAATGTATAAAAAATATGGGACATGGCGTATTCCAAGTAATTCAATAGATGGAGATGCAACAATAAAATACTGATGGAAATGACAAATACTGCTATTTGTGTTAGCTGTGTTTCTCGTTGATGGGGAACATCGTTTTAAAAGCTAAAAGTTTCTCCCACCAACTATCGCCAATTATAATGAAATGTCGCAATTTCTTTTCGAAATCATGTTCTATATGTCTGTTAACTATTATTTCGCTACAAATACTTTAGATGTTGTCGATGCATACATTGCAATAAGCATTTTGAAAACAACCCAATTTGAATATTTTCTGAATTTGTTTTTATTATTGAAAAAATATACACACATAAACAAATGAAGTTGACATATTAAGCCAAAAAAATAAAAAAAGAATTAAAATCATATGGTATCATAGCCCCTTCCTTGATTTAATTGTACCATGTATGTATGTGTTTCCACCACAGTTCATATCCAATGTCAAAGGCCAGCCATACATAGGCAAAGAATTTATAAAAAATAATTTAATACTGATATTTTTTTCAAAACCCTTCGTTAAAAATAATTTGGGGATATCTGAAGAGCTCTTCTGTTTTTTGGCATTACTGCATTCTTCAGATATTTAATCTTGCTGTAATTAATTAAAAGTTAGTGTCGTTTAAATATATATTTTTTCATTTCTACGCTCTTATATATTTTTTGTAATCACTCTTCTTCTTCCCACAAAAGTTGTGTTTTCATTTTAGTTTTTAGGTGTCCAAGGTGATCAATCAAAATCACACAATGCAACAATTAAAAAAAAAATAAAGTTTTTTTTGTCAGACAAGAACGACGACGAGGCAGCAAACATGAGTATAAATAATTAAAGAAGCCATGTAGTTCTTTTCTAGAAACGGCAAAGTTTCCAAGATAATCGCCACAAAAACAAAAAATAGCGTTAAATTGTCTAAGAAACCGTGAAAGAGAAAAATGTAACAAGTTTTTTTTTTTTTCATTTTCAATTACCAACTTTTATCAACGACGGCATTGGAAAAACAACAGTTAATGGCTAGAAATAGATATACTCCTCCTAGAAGTGTTTAAAAGGTGCCGGATTCAGAATTGAAATGGCTTCAGAATTATTAAATGCATCACTTTTTGATATGCTGGTAAATTGGAAGTGGTTGTTTATATATGGCAAATAATTGGCTAATTTAATCATGCGTTTCTTACTTTCAAAGCTACTCCACAAATTAAAAGCAGAAATATGTAGTCAAAAAATCGGAAAAGGTTTTACTGGAAGCAACATATATAGCCCCCAAAATATATGAACTTGGCGGGTATACCAGAGCAACATACAGAGCAATAAATGCATCTTCATTTTTATACCCTCCACCATTCTATGGAGGGTACCCAACAAAATATATATATTCTTGATCAGCGTAAAGTTCTAAGTCGATTTAGCGATGTCCGTCTGCCTGTCTGTTGCATTCACGCAATCTTTCGAACGAATTGAGATAGAAGGCTAAAATTTTGCACACATTTGACTTTTACTAACGAGGTGGTAGGTAATGTTACCCGGTCTTCACATTTTCTGGAAATTCTCTCTTTTGTTACGATGAATAAAAGTGCCAGTTTTGCTCAAATGAAAAAAATGTTTTATAAAACAAATAATTATTAAACAATATTTTTAAATATTTTTTTCTGTAAATTAAGAGTGCTAGATTTACCACCACGTCATAAAATACGTTCTAAAATGTCACCTCGGCAGTTAAAGGTTAAGTAATATATAACCGTTTCAAAACAGAGGGGAAGAGAATAGTTTTAATATTATTTTTTTCTTTTTTTTGTTGTACATGAAAAATTATTCTTCAGCAAATCTCTTATTTTATTTTATGTCTCTGTTGTACTAAAAACGTCGTGAAATGCAGATAAGTGCATATATGAAAATATGCAGGTAAACCAAAATTACTGTAAGAGTGGGAAAGACTTTTCTGCAGCATATCGCAAAAAGTTATCAGAAATAACAATGACAGCTATTAGATGACAACAGCAGTCAGGGAAATGATTGAGCGATGAACTGAATAGCGAAATGCGCACATGTCATGTGCTGGGCGATTTCAAGTCATTTCACTTTTAACGGTATTGACTACATTTGCACGAATGTCGTATTACACGGTTTACACTGTGTTTAATTGAAGTCGTCATTGCTGTTGTTGTCGGTTGTGTATGGCGCTTCGGCTGCTGTTCGATATTAAATTCATTTAAATATCATAAATATTGTTTTAAACAGATTGGTGTTGTTGTACCACGCTGCTAGTTGTTGTCTGCTCCCGTGTTTTTGGTCTGTCTGATCTGAGGCTATCTTGATTGTTCTTCGTTGCTGCTCTTGCCACTGTTGCATCATAGTTGTATTGCAACATTTGGTGGTTTTACTTCGCGCTGCTGCTGTCGGAGGCTGTCTCGAAGAATGACGTGTCTGTTACACGTTGGTGCTGCAACTTGCCTAGGCATATCATATTGAATTGGTATTGTTTAAATGATGGTCTATTGAGGACGCATATGTGGCATCGATGAGCCAAGCATATGTATGCTTGAAAGATGTTTCAATGTGGTTTCCTCCATCCTTTCCTTTCGCCTCTGTAACCAAATTCGTTATTGGGTTTGCATCATTTCCTTCTTCTTCTTCGTCTTCTCTTTGTTGCCAATGTTTATCTGCACTCGATTTGTTTTTGATTCTTGGTTACATTTCCATATTCGATTCGAAACGAAACTTTTCATAATGGAACGTCCTCTCCTCTTCGCGACCTCGTGAGTTTCTTTTGTTGCGGCTGGTCGTTGTTGCTTCTTTTGGGGATTATTGCATTACAATTGCATTGGATTGAGTGTACGCTGGTCATCCGACTCTGTTTCCTTTCGGACTCGTCTGAAATTTATCGCTTAATCGACATTACAATCAACGACAATTTAACATTTTCCATTTCCATTTTCCAAATGGAGAGACTGAATGGTTACCGGAGTTCGCGACCAGGGACCAAAAGCAATTTTCGTCCACTATCAAAAGTGTATTGTAGTTGTTGTTGGTGTTGCTCATGACGACAACAGCATGCCGTACTCTAATAACAAACTAAGCAAGGAGATTCAACTCAAAGATTAGGTTAGCGTTTATGTTTTCTAACCAAAATTGGGTTACAGTGGCTACGGCTGGCTGCTATCTTGGTCGTAATGCGTTTGCTAAATGCTGCGCTCTGGGCCAAAAACGAAGTTGGAGAAATTTGATGCCTGGCCTAAAAAAATTATGTTTAATCGTGAAGAAATGTAAATGTCATTGGGGCGCATTAGAAGTGGAAATCCTAGGACAATAGACGTCAATTTAAGTCTCAGGTTTAGATAGAAATTTTTAATCGAGAACAACACATTATTCGATTGAATATTTTCGAATTTATGTTGCATTCAAACGTAGTTAACGCAGCAAGGCCAATACTCCCTCTTCGAGACAGTAAACAGATTGGCAGACTTTGCTAAATCGACTAACTGAGTACGGCCAAACATATTCGGAGTTATAACGAATTACGTTATGTCAACCCTGTCAATCCTCTAAACGAAATCAAACAAATGCAACTTGAAATTGAAATAAATGTAATCATTTCATAGAACCAATCTCAGGTTTCGACACATGAAGTATTTCTAAGCCTTCTTTAATAATAAGTGTAAACCTATGTCGAAGAACTAATTTTAAAATGATCTTCGATTCGATACACATCTTTTTTCGTGGGCGTACGAATGCTGAAATATACAACCGATCCTTGTTGTAAGAAAGCTCGAACTCCCGCTCTGTGATATATTACTGCATTTCAATTACATGGACATGAGAGCATGAGGATGTGCTGCCGTCATATTTGCCTGTGCCTTCTGCTTCTACAATATAAGCGCTCTTGACTTTTTAACTGTTAAATGCTTTCGCAGAAGGGAAAGTTTGGTTTCTTTTCTTCAAAGAATTCCTTCAATTGTCGAAATGAACTTCCTTGAGAGGGATATAAGTGTGCCTCCATTTCACAATATTAATCCACTGCTATTACAAACCATCCCACTAGTTTTACCCTAGCACTTGCAGTGGTTGGTTAAGTATGAACGTTCCTCATTTCATCCTCAGGACTATTGATAACTTCTTGTGGTCGGACATGTGGGATTTCTTTTTTTTTTTTCTTGGGATTTTTCATTTACTTTGTCAGCATACATACACACACTGACACACACATGCTAAGAGGCGGGATTTCCCACACATGACTAGTTTTAGTGCAGCTTGATTGTGGCTGGCGTTTCGGCAATATGGCAAAATTCTATTAACACTTTCTTTAAATTGCATTTCGGCGCTATCTTTATCGCTTCCTTTGGAAATTGGCAAAAAATTGCAGCCCTTATAGAATTGTTCATCTAGACTTTGTGGTGTGTGCGACTGAATGTTTGTGAGAGAATTATGAAAGAGTCAAGCAGATATATACGTATGCTTATATTTGTATCTGGATTCATTCCATTCCAGTTGTATGTTTTGGTATCACTGCAAAAGTACTGAGTGCGGATAGACATTGCATTGTGGCCTTTGGAATTTTAATTAAAACTGTGAAAAACGTTGATTTTATTGCTCTGTGTTATTTTGAATTTTAAAAACGATTAATTCTAGGTATGACTGAGACTCAGTACTTAGCCTTATCTACCCATTAAATCCTTGAAGTAAAAATAATGAACATCATTTTTTAAGAAGCAAAAAGTCTTTCAACTGCAATAAAATGTTAATATTTGCTGGCATTTGTTGTTTTATGTTCCTGCAAATTGTCTCCAGAAATGATATATTTTTTTTTTTTATAAAAATAAATTGTAACTACATATATTTATTAGCACCAATGATTCGAACTACTCCTCTATGCACTCTTAACTAAAATTGAAGGAATATTTCTCTGAAAAAGTGTTCAACTGCAACGCCTATCAAGGATACACGTGTTGTTCTCTGTATTAGGTTTATTTTAGCGCCGTACCCTTACACCGATGCACAATCTCATTTGGTTTTATGGCAATTTATTTGTATTCATACAATTTTTGTTGAATCCATTTTCCTCTTTTCTTTCATCCAACCGATGTGTGGCATCGTTGGTTCTCTCGCCTTAGGATTCATGGGTGTTGCTGCAAGTCTCTTCGTTCTGATGTGGGTAGCCGACATAGGCGTATGCAACTTAGAATGGCGTTTGTTAAACAAACCAACATCGGCAGTCTGTCAGACTTAGTTAGTCATCATTTGTGCAGAGGAAGTAACTTGTCCGTCTGCCCATAACTATTTAAAATAAGCCCTGTATTTGTTCCAGGAGATGTGCTTCCTGCATTGCACTGCACGCCTTCGTCTTCTGATTTTATTTGTATTCAATTGCTGGTTCTTCCACACGAAGCTGATGTGGCATAGATTTTTGTTTATTCTGCTTTTCAATGGCATTCTCTCAACAAAATCAGAAAGGTGTGGAAAGTGTAAAATGTCTGATGGAACGTGCCTAACAATATCTGTGAGAAGTCAGCAGTACAGAAGTTACTGAATTGAAATCCCTAGGTTTTTAATGTCTTTTATTGGGCCTAATTGAATAGGCCATTGTCAAGAGAAGATTATTTGTGTGCAAGGTACCTCAACGTTTTTAAGGAAATCTATTCCGTGGTAGCATTAGAATGGTGAGAAACATTAGTCAGTGCATCCTCATTTCTGGAATACCGCATGACAATCTATGCTTTGTGCTTTAAAAATGAAATAGTCCAAATTGTAAAATGTTGGTTTATTTTATATTTTTTACTTCACCATGCTATTCAGGGGTATGTTAAGTTTGTTATTTCCTTTCTTAGCTATCCCAAATAAATATTTCAGTTAGGCTCTATTCAATATTTTTTTTACCGAGCTTTTCGTAAGTTTGTCTCCTAAGTAAGCAGAAAACTCCCTTGACCCCAGAAATGACTTTCGAAAACCATTTCACTCCAAAAATATCTAAAAATTTACTATTTATGGAGCGACTCCTGATTATGTCGAAGGATCCCCGAATACCGATTTCTCCCAACTTGCGAAATGTTGACGATCAAATGTGGCTAAATTTGTTTTTAAGTTAGCATCTGGAGTTTGGCTGAACTGAACCGTTTTTATTTCTTATTTTCATTAATTTCGTAAAAATGGTATAAATCATATTTGCTTACTTCAGCTCATGGGCCGAGATCAACATGTAAAATGGATTACGTCATAAACCTGTCGCGTTCTTGTGAAAGCAATGACGAAATGGAGATAGGTGTGAAAAAAGTTTTAATTGAGGTATTTAAAAGCAAAACAATTGACACATCTGTCCTTTAACGGTCCCATGAATATTAAATACCTAGGTTCTTCATGCGACAGTCAATCTTTTTTTTCGATTTTCTCCTAAACAGTTGCAAATTTAAAATACAAGCAATTAGTCCTTTTACAAAACTGTTGGTGTTCCGTTCAGGGGTTCATTAACGTTTTTTGTATGGTTAATTACATTTATTTCAGTATTTGTTCTGTTTTTTGCTTAACTTCGTCATAAAACCTATTAACTGATAAAATGAACTGATTTGCCAAACTGACTTCACAACACACACACAGACACACCGCAACAACCGATGTGCATATCAGCAGAGGGCGTTTATTTAATAAACCGAATTATGTGGCATATTTTTTTCGCGCCCGGATGAATTCAAGCGCGGCTATTCAATGCATCGCTTTATTTCTGAATCGACGACAAAAACAAATTAAACAATCACGTTAAAAATCGATGATGGCGGCATTGATAAAGTTGGGCGATAATATTAAATTTAACGATTTTCACAAATGATAATGTACTGGACTTGATTTAATGAAGATTAAATTGAGCAGGACGTTAAAGGACCTCTATGTGTGTGCGTGCCACCTCTGTGCCACCGCAAGATGGATAGCGCTTTCACATTTTTATGACGAAATATTTAATACGGATTTAAAGCCTGCTTTCAGCAGTCCATTGTCTAACATAATTGCGACACAATATCAGGCTCTCATTTACATTTAAATTGCAGCCTTCATGCAGGACGCCTCAATTTAAAATGTTATTTACAAATACCAGTTGCCATTTAATTTCGATGGGGCTGTTGTAGAGATACAATGTTGTTGGTGTATTTGAAATTTCAAATTTATTTTCTATTCCATTGTGTAATGGAATTGGAATGTGTAATCACAAAACTAATTTGTGGAAATTTTTTAATTTATATTTTGCATAAATTATTTTTGCCACAGTTTTCATAATTACCGCTTCGCACAGGTAATTGAATTTAGTTGCCTCCGGGCGGGTAACGTCAGAGCCGAGAATTACATTCAACAATGGAACTAATTTCAATTTGTTTTGACAACGACGGCATAAGTTTACACATTAGCGGATTTATTCTGTAATAACTCGGGAACATGGGTGTTATTTTTAAATTAGTGCAACTTCACAGCAGTTCTTCTTTGTTATAAACCTCATATTTAATATTTTATAGCTACATTGAACAAGATTTGCATTTTTTTTTTGCTTTGTGAATTTGTAAAGTTACACAGCTTCTTTTTCGCAGAGGAACGTACATTTAGTTAATTTTTAGTCATTTCCAAGGAAAACGTATTGCCTGAAATTTTTGTAACCATTTGACTTGGTCAGTGTGCGTTTTTGTACCATTTTGTTATTAGGATTGAGACCTATTTACCAAATATACGTAACATTTGGATTGTCGCATTTTAATGTAGCGCTTTTTTGTGGACAGAATTTGTGATTCATATGTAGATCAAGAGGGGTAACCTTTATTTGGTTACTAAAGACTATTATTTTATTGTCACTTTATGCTTGCCGCAATAAAACATAACTGCAATTAAAAATGGAGAACGTCATTGTTTCTCAGTTGCAAAATAAATAATATAATTGGGTTTAATGCGAATAAAAAGACTGATTTAAGCATGGAGAGATTATTGCCCGCCAACAAATAACAAACTAATTCCCAGATAGGTTCAATTCTCTAATTATTTGAATGGCGCAGTCATAAATCTCTGTTGCAGGATAAAAAATTGTCCAACAAATGTTTTATTTTTTCTTTTTCTACCACAAAGTGAAAAAATGCTTCAACTATTTATAAAATGTTTGGGAATATCCTATTGTTTGTTGGCCATTGTTTGAGTTTTTCTGCAACAGTTTAAAAATTGTATGATTTATGGCCATGCCATGGTCGGATAAAAACCAATCGCAAAAACATCAAATGTAAAACATATTGTTTCGTTTTTCACACTTCACTCCGTTTGCACATTTCAAATGTTCAATTTTCATCGTTTTTTTCTTTTGTGGAAAGAATATTTTTAATTTCGTTTATTTCTGGCTCTGCTGCACTATTTAAATATAAAATATCTGAATTCCGGCATACAACTTTTATTGAAGTAATTGATATTTTATTGATTTTTGTGTAAATGTTTTTTATTTTACAGGTAGCTGAATTTGGACTATCTTTACCAAGTAACAGGTATGCATGCATGTTCAAGTGAAACATCCATATGTATGTTTTTTTTGTATAAGTTGGAGGATATAGTAAATATATTCTAATTTAATTTCACTTCGAACAAACTGAGAATTAATTCCTAACAATTTGATAATTTATGACATTTTTAAAGAAGACATCGATATTCATACCAACATGGTGTTGCCGATCTTGTCTCAACTCATCCTACGTCCTACCTGATGACGTTCAACATCCAAATTAATATCTCCCCCTCGTGTTCGACATTTTTTCGCTCAGGTTAATCGATTAATTGGCCGCTTTTGGCTCACATTCCCTTTACCCTGGAAATTATAGCTTAAGTGCGGCACGCTACATTTGCACACATTCCCATTCCGTCAATTGTAGGTTCTGAACAGTTTCAATGTTGTGTTGCTTAAATTGTTAGCACAGTCACGTTCGCTCACGTTCATTCAAACACAAATACGTTTTCATTCACGACTATTCACTGGAGGTGGGCGGCTTACAGCGGCTCAGTAGGGATTCATTCATTTGGGAGTTTGGATAATGAAAATTAATAATTTTGAATTAATTTTAGACATTTGTACGCGTTAATAAAGCTGTTGGTATTTTATTGTTGTTCGTTGTATGATTTTCGATTACGGACACGTTGTGACGGATAAACCTGACTGCGGAGCGAGTGAGTGGAGCATGTCATCGCATTTAAACATTTAGAACATACATAGAATTAGAAGATGGTGTGGTTTGACGACTAGACCGACCCCTTTATTGTTTAATGTGATTACAGTGGGTTAAAATTACAGATAGTTCGTCCTGAGAGGGTAAGAAGTTAATGAACGTTAAGACATTAGCTAAGATCTTGCTATTAGACATATCAAAAACCGCAGATCTTGTACTGAATGCTGTTACAACTGATGTTTCCAATCATAGCCTGGTCTTGCCATAGTGATCCTTATCCTAGGATCCCCCCAAGCTGCGGGTTAGACAGTTGTTTTTCCCCATTTTGCATTCATTTTGGTTTGATTTCGTTACATAAGTTGCCAATATAAGTTCATTTCCTACCGACAAAAACTTGAAATTAAACAAACTGTCGGAAAATATTAAATATCGATTTGCCGTTTCAAGGTTGAGATGACGACTTGGCCCGGAGTTGTGATGCTATAACTCGTCATTATTATTTCAACAAATACTAATTGGAAATATAATTAATGGGAATTAGCTTTAGCTTGGATAGTCGTTTTGCATGTGTATAATTAGAGTTGGCAGTCGAGCGTGGTGTCGGTCTTAGAATTAATCGTTCGCCTGTTGCTTGTTTCTCCAAATCAATGTTTCAAAAGCCAAGTCAAACAGAATGAGATGCTTGCAAAAAATCATTTCCATCCATCAGCCCAAAGGGATATCTTAACTATGACCAGACTGGGTATTCGGGGAATGTTTTTCGCTAATGATTCCAAATTCCAAAATTTATAACAACTTTTAGACACGCAGGTATGGTTGGGTTATATAAACAATAGTTTTATGCAGGAGTATTGATGCATATGAGGCACACTGACAGCCGGTTGACATTTATATAAAAATTACATTTTTTTTGCAAACGAATAAGGAACCACTCCTGTTTTTGTGGATGTCGTGTCATTCGTGGAATTTGTTCCTATGAAAGGAAAGTGAAATCTTTAAGAAGCTACAACAGACACCACACGCCGTAGTTTGCCCACTAACCCAAAATTAGACTTCCGTGTTTGCGGCCAAATGAAACAAACGAGCAAATTACGATCACGTTCGGAAAAGTAATAAAAAGAGCGCTTAATTAAGCAAAGTTAACAAAAGTGGAGAATAAATAAACAAAAACTTTAAACAAACAAATCAAAGCAAACGATGTTGTTGACTATTTGACTGACTGATTGCCGACGTCCAACCGTTCAGCTCAGGTGCCAACTTCAACTATGGAAATATTTATGGAACACCTGTACGAGTGGTTAGCAAAGTATTGAAAAAAAAAAAACGTCAACCGAAAGCAAAACTACCAGAACTGCGCAAATTCAAAACCAAAAAGGGAAACAACATTTTTCAAATCCCAATTTTATCCATTTTCAAATGGTTATTTTCGTGGTGGCATTTGAATATTTGTTAAGCTCTCTCAAACGTACGAATGGGCACAGCTTTCTCGTGCCAAACCATTCTATGAATTAGTTGACCTATCACACCGAAATATTTTCCCCGCTAAAAATAAGTTACCGCGTTCCATTTGTTATGTGACGTAGATTTTGTTAAATATAAGTCAAAATAGACTTTTTATTGAAAAAGGTTTATTGAAATATTTCCTATTCCGCCTAATTTCCCTTGGGTTGTTGCTCTGAGTTACGTGTCGGCCTACGACAAGTGGTGACTGTCGTTTCTATTTTCAACATATTTTTTTATCAAGTAATTGAATGAATTCTTGAAGAAAATTTATTGTTTAATGCTGGCGTATCTCTACGATGTCAGTTCTCCTAATGTTAATTATTTTTTAAATTATTGTTTCCGAACCAACACATACATGTACAAATATTGCATATATCGTCCGCGACATTTGTCAATCTCAAAATCACTTGGATTTGGCTTACATTCGTAAAAAAAATAATGAACAGCAAACGTCGATATATACTTTAAAAAATTGACATGACCCGAATTTAAATTTTGGTTAAAATAAAAACAAGACCACTACAGAATGATTAAAGTTAGCCAACGCCACTCCATCGTCCTGAATCTATCTACATTTTGCGTTCAGATGTATAGATATCTTCCCTTATACAGCAGTTCCCAACGATTTAGCTATCGTGTGATTGTTATTTATATACCTGGTTGTACATGCTCCTTTCAATTACACGCTGTTGTGTTGTCCAAGACGGCATGCATGTCTGCTGAGGCAGAAATTCAATTAACAATTGTCCTCATTACGGACAACCACAACAACACGACCATTTGGCAGCAATCGCCCATCAATGTACATGGCTCTGAGGTATCTCTATGCCTTTCCTCGTTAGCCGGATCATTGCCAAATTAGTAAAAATTTAGTTTTAAATAATACTCAAAGGGGCATGTCCAAAAGCATTGTCCAAGCCAACCTGGCGTCTGTCACCCCGCCATAACAGCCGACACTATGTGTTGTGGCATATTTTGTGCAAAATGTTGGCAAATTAGCTGCTTTGTGTAGATAAAAAAGTAAATTAATCGAATTGGAAAGCTTGTGGTGTGTAAATGGCAACCACAAATGTGCGGTGAGGAGACACGCCTTGCAAATGGTGACTGCCAAGAAGTGAGTTGCAGAAATGTAATTATTAAACATTCCTGTGGCTCCAATACAAAACATTTTGTAAACCTGGTGGGTCACACGTTAGAAATTCTGATGAGTCATTGAAATTCCGCAGGTACTTTCTGCCTTTAAAACGTGCGACGAACATCTCATGAATCATCACCTGGCCAGGAAAGACATTTAAGGATGTTTGTTTGTGAGCACGGTCAGCATGGTCACGTCTCAATGATGTTGGGCCTGTATCGACTGCATTTGAAAAATACACCGCTGTCGTCAAAGCCTTTCCAGATATTAGCCATTCGAGCAAATGACAATTCCCCGACTTCATTGTCTAACGAATTGCCACTCGAGGCAATTGATAAATGTGTGCCAAAGGAAATGAGGAATTAGATAAGCACTTTAATCATTTGGAATAGAGAGCAAAAATAACTGCACACAAAAAGACGAAGAACAATTTCGGCTCCCAGTTTTTCTACAACTTAAATCAACTCAAATGTTTGTAGCTTGTTAACCCAGTACACCTACACCTTCGTGGAGAATCATATGCCACAGGTAGCCCTCGAAACACGAAATGAGACGATGAAAAAATGTAAAAACAAACACAATCATGTCTAATATCGAACGCTTAAAAGTTTTAAATTCGCCTGATTGGGAGAATTTAAGGAGCAGAAAACATCCCTGCCGAGATTTTCTACATGGATCCACGTTTCACACTGGCTCCATCTATAGAACAAACTATTTAGGAACTCTTTCAATCGAATTGGTAAAAAATTGGATCTTCATGCAGCGATACCTTCTTTTCAGAGCGCAATCTTCCGTTTTACCTGTTTCATTTCATGACTAGCTATTTCTCCAAAATTGAATTCATAGACTGCCATCTGTAATTCGAAGCTTTTTGGCAAGGAATATGGTACAATTATTGTTAAATACGTATCTATGAACGCATGTACATACAAACATGAAGCAACGCATTAAGCGCGGGACCGCACAATCTTGGCGGGGCATTATACAGGTAGGGTATGTCTATGTGGTGTGTGCTCATTCGATGACAGCACAATGGCTCCGATGTTGATTCACTCCAAACACTATTTACATAAAGATACAGTGGATTCAAACCAAAGTCGGACGCTCATAGAAATTCATTCAATCGATTTAAGCCACATTTCAATTAAAACACTTGCATAGAGACGATTTCATGCAGTGGGCCAATTAAAACCCTAAAAGATAAGCTGTCAACTTTACATTTTTGAAAAGACAAATAAATTACCCGCTGTATATTCCCTGTTACCCTCGGAAAGTATGTTCGTTCTTTCAATTTGTTAACATTTACACCCAGTTTTTCTAAGGCGATCGATAATAAAAACGAAAGGAAGTCGGTCACTTGAAGTCGATTTAAATCCACCAGCTTTACGTATACTATACGTAACTCTACTAAATTGAATGTGTGTTCTCACAGCACTGATAAAAAATGAGAATCAATTAAAACATTTCTCAGAGCAAATGAGAAAAAAAATGTGTTGGTACTTGTCAGAGTAATAGAAATGTTGAAATTGCGTAAAATGTATGCCTCAACTTTTAATTTCGGGTATAGATGACGATTTTACTAATTTTCCACAAATGTTTGCCATAACTTCGTAATGTTTGTACCACTCGACAGATCAAAATAAAGTGACTGATTTTGACATTCGAATAGTAAAATATTTTTACTGAAACG